GAACACCATCCAGACCCGTTTACGGAGATAGGACCCGTAACAATTTTATGGGACTTTAAAATAGACACACAGACAGAATAATCAAAGTTAATCACCAAAACATTAGAGACCGCAAAATCTTATTGACATGGCAGTCCCTGCAGATTATATTTTTAAGATCTGCAAGTCTATCAAAACACAAGGACCTTAAAATCTCAAAATTATGATAGATGAGGACATTAACACATCCGGTTATACTAAAGGCCGTCGGATTAAATAGAACAAATTCCAATAGACTCCTTGAAGGGATTCCTGGCAGCCCATGCCTTAACGGAAAAACAAAATGTACTCACAAGTACAGCTCACCCTGACGAAGAGCTTTATAAATATACAATATGTGTGACCTTAGCTTTTTCTCCTCAAAAAATGCTCACTAGAAAATGTAATGAAACCATTTCTGAGCTGAGGTCTCTGGTGGGGACATGGAATGGAATGAATATACACCGGAAATCAAAGGAAATAAAATAATAATAATAAAAATAAAAAAAATAATATTTTTTAAGCGATTGTTCGTGAATTTGGTGACATGACAATTGTGAGTTAAATTCGTGGACCGGGCAGTGTGTACCTGAACTAAATAGAATCAGGGCGAACAATAACTGATTAGATGTAAAAAAAAAAAACAAAAATAAACTAAGTTAGTCATAATATCCCTAAACATAGGTAGTGGAAAGCCCCGGACCGGGTGTTACACTGTATATTAAGTAACGTGTCCGTTCAGAATTGCAGTAGATTACCCACGTTGATATACACCTGAGGAAGGCCGGAGGCCACATGGATCTAAACTTTGTGATAACAACCACAAAGATAATAAGTAGAGCTCGAATATAAATAGTGTAAATAATATAAATATTGCTATAAAGATTATATTTAGTATGTAATGTTATTTGATAGATATTGTATTTTTTAACATTAAACTCATCTCTTCCGGACTTGAGATTGGGCGTCATGCTAAAGAACATATGTATTTTCTTTTTTTTTAAATTAAGTGAGATTTATCTATAAGCTACTAGATATTAGTTTCACTGTTTATCAAATTTATATCGGACTAAAAAATCGAACTAAAAAATACATTTTTTAGTCTGCACATACACACACGCACGTCTATCTATTGATGTATCTAAAATTCTGTAACCTCCGTTAGGTGTCCTTCACACCCTCTATAATACCCATACATCGACCGAAAGGAACTAAATATTAGGGAGAGGTGAAAACAGGTAAGCGGGGAGAGGGTACAAAATACAGTTGGTTTTACTAAGGTGTGTAGATTTGTACAATATTTGCATTAATTTTTTGGGAAATTAAAAAGTTATTATTGAACATAAAAAAAAAACTCTCACTATTTAAAAAAAACAATTTAATGATTAAAATAAATACTTATTTAATAGAAGGAAATTACTGGAAAGTAATTAAAACTCACCTGAAGCGAGCTGAATGTGTAATGCTCCTCATGCCAATGACACTTCCACCGGGCTTCTCTACGGCATATGACTTCACTGAATTTGATGTGCTCCTCTTGAATTTTAAACTGGGGTCATCAGGAGAGAATGTGCATCGTTTCGGGGCCTTCCTCTCAACGGTTTCAGTTGCACACCACCACCCCCATTACTAATGTGAGGCCCCATTATAACGATATACAAGTGTTGCAGATAAACTAGAACACTTGTATATCGTTATAATGGGGCCTTACATCAGTGAGAGGGCCGGTGTGCAACAAACCGTTGAGAGGAAGGCCCCGGAACGATGCACATTCTCTCCTGAATGAAACTTTTTACTTTTTATTCATTTTTTTCCCTTTTCATTCAATCTGAAAATAATTTACGCATACACGCACGCACACACACACACACACATACATACATATGTATTTACAGTCTGCGATGGAAAAATTGTCGTCGAAATATCGGTAAAATGAAAATAAAATAGATATCTCATTTTAACAGATATATTTAGTAAAATCACACAAAAATATCTTGAAATGTTAAAGAATAAATCTCTTCAATAAAATCGTCATTGGCTTTAACCACCGTTTCCATATGTCTTCGAATTCTTCTACAACTCTTTCGAATGGTTCCTTGCTTATATTGGTGAATGCTACCATAATTGTTGCCTTCAGTTCATCTTTCGTGTTAAAAGGACTTTTGCTGGTCCCTTGCTCAACTGTTCCCCACACATAATAATCAAGAGGGTTGCAGTCTGGGGAGTTTGGTTTCAGGTGTCAGGGGCGGTTTGACCGCAGAAACGCTTAGGCGATCATGTGTCTTTCGATACATGACTGACTAGGCAGATTTTTTTCTCGCAGTAGGTTGCTATTTCTTTCTCTGCTAGACCAGTTGCTATCCAAAGCTTTAGAACCCGGTCTGTCCTGCTATTTACCCATAGCTGCCGGGGAGAAGAAGCGTATTCATACCTTTCCCAAGGGTACTAGCACGTAAGTGAATATAATGGATTCGACTGGAATTCAAACTCGGCTCTCCGATTCCTCAATCCGAGCCGGTATCCATATGAATTTCTTACGGCTCTCTAATAGAGGAGTAGTGCTGAGCCTCCTCCCACAGGGTTCCGTCATCCGCAGACAATAAATGTAAGGTGCCCGTGCTCCCAAATTCCGCCGATCGATGTGGGGTTGTCACCCCTCTTCGACAGTACTACTTTGGCTCTAATCCTAAAATAACCAAGCTTCGACATCCCCCACGAGAAATAGTGGGTGCCAAACTCGTATTCTCATCTAGTTACTGATTGGGTTCGACGTTGCTTAACTCCGATGATCGTAAGGGAACAGTTGTTTCAACATGATGTGGACGTAAGATTAGCGATTATAAGAAAAAAAAATTTCTAGAGGAAACAAGAAGAAGGTTTGACTATGGAGACATGAGACAGAAGCAACTGGTATCATAGAACTTGCTTCTGGCTATTTCAATAGGAAAATGATTAATTTTTTGCCGCCAATGTAGTACTGCGCTTAAATTCATAAAGTCTAGGTACCATAGAGGGATGTTCATCAGAAGAATTACTTGTTTAGTAACCATTCTAGGATGAAGAATACAAATGTCGAAAGAAGGCATATGGAAATAAATTCCACCATCTTTTCAAAGACGTCACAATACAAAAGGAAGAATGATCCTCACGTGAGCTATGACCATGTACGTCCTGAAGGGACATGATATTAAAAACAAAACAAAACAAAACAAAAAAACTATACTTAAATATTGCAGTTTATTTTCAATGTAAATCTGTCATGGCCAGTGTTTTTCTTTGTGTAGTAATCAAATCTAAAACTAGAAAAAAAAATCTGGCATTGATGTCCTTGTCTTAATTTCAAGATGCTATCCTTAGCGAGGGAAGCGAAATCAATCATTGTGTCCCTTACAAAAGAAAAAAAAAAGGAAAAAAACAAAAACAAAACAATAGCAACCGGAAAAAAGACGAAGCAATCGAAGCTGAAGAAAACAAAATGGCGTTGGCCAAGGTAGTAATTGGCGGGAATCTCTCCTGAATTTTCGCTTGTTAGCTTTCCGGCGATTATTCTTTTTCAAACTACATTTCAACCTTGAGTAGTCAATGAACTGTCGGCATTAATTCATTGGCAGAGTCTCGAAGCACACACACTCAAAAACCGAGACGGATTGTTTATTCCTTCTTTCTCTTTCTTTCAAAGTAAATTATTTGTTTTTTAATCTTTCTCTCCTCGACGTTTATTTTTCATCTCTCTTTTAGCTTTTAATTATCGCAGTGTTGTTGACTTGTTTGAATCCTTCCACCATTGTTTTTCATTGTGTCCTCTTCCTCCTCTTCTTCTTGTATTCAGTCTTCTTCTTCTTCTTCTTCTTCTTCTTCATCTTCTTCTTCTTCTTCTTCTATTGTGTTTTCTTTTTCTATTTAGTTTTCTTCTTCTTCATCTTCTTCTTCTCATCCATCTTTTTCCACTTCTATTCTATCTTCTTGTTCTTGTTTTTCTTCTATCCAGACATCATCATCATCGTCATCATCATCATCATCATCATCATCATCTTCTTCTTCTTCTTCTAATATTCAGTCTTCTTTTTATTCTTCTTCTGTTTAGTCTTCTTTATATTATTATTCTATTTAATTTTCTTCTTCGTCTTCTTCTTCTTCTTCTTCTTCTTCTTCGTCGTCGTCTTCTTCTTCTTCTTCTTCTTCTTCTTCTTCTTCTATTGTGTTTTTTTTTCTATTTAGTTTTCTTCTTCTTCATCTTCTTCTTCTCATCCATCTTTTTCCACTTCTATTCTATCTTCTTGTTCTTGTTTTTCTTCTATCCAGACATCATCATCATCGTCATCATCATCATCTTCTTCTTCTTCTTCTTCTTCTTCTTCTAATATTCAGTCTTCTTTTTATTCTTCTTCTGTTTAGTCTTCTTTATATTGTTATTCTATTTAATTTTCTTCTTCTTCGCCTTCTTCTTCTTCTTCTTCTTCTTCTTCTGCTGCTGTTTCTTTTGCTTCTTCTTTGTCTCTTCATTAATAGAGAAAGAAGCTTCTTTTTCTTTTTCTTCCTTATCTTGATCCTCTTCCGTTTTTCATCCTATTCATTGTATTTTCCTTCCATCTATATGTCTCTTCCCATCTGTTTTCTATCTCTGTGTGTGTATGTGTTTTTTTTTCAATTGCTTGCTTTTTTAAAACTCACTGACAATTCACACATTATTGCACACTGTTGACTTGGTATTGACGTTCTTTGCTTGTTAGCCTATAAAAATGTCGGCTTCATTTACACAACAATAAGAAAAAAAAAGAATCGAAATAAATCACTTGGAAACGAAAACGATACATCGATTTTAATATAAATAACTACAGAAATAGGAGTAAAGACGTCTTAAGTAGAAGTGAAAACAAAGCAAAACAAATGACGGAAGGAAAAAAACATCTTGAAAAATATGGAGGAATAACAGAAAGGAGTGGGGAAGAAAGATAAAAATAAGTTGTTGAAAGAAATAACATTCAATTGAATAAATGCATGAAAAAAGGAATAAATTTAAAAAAATATATGAAAGAAGAGAAAAAGGAATAGACAGCAATAGAAAGTCGAGGGATGAAAATCGAATCCTGGGAAAGATTTAGGATTAATAGGAGGAGAGACATAGAGGAGAAAGAAAGATTAGAGAAGTGGATTATAAAGAATGAAAAGAATAAGCGAATAGACATAGAATAAAAATGAGAAAGAAAGAAGTTAGTAAAGGAAAGGAATAAGTAAAGAAAGGCAAGAAAGATGTAGTGAAGGAAAAAGATTGAATGAAAGACACAAAGAAAAGGATAAGCTGAAGAAAAAAATAATGGAAAAGAGTAAATTAAAAAATGGCGAAAGAGTGAAAGGAAATAAAATGGAGGCATATGTGAAAAATGAAGAATGTAAAATGTAGTCGTTAAAATACAAAGGAAGAAGATAAAAGAATAAGAAAAAAGAAACAAAGAATTTTCATCTTTCTTTCTTTTTGCAGAAAGAAACAAAGAAAGAAACAAAAAAGAAAGAAACAACGAAAGAAAGAATAAAGAGGAAAAAAACATTTTAAAAATGCATAAAAGAAATCGGAGATTAGAAAATATTAAAGGGGAGAGAGAGAGAGAGAGAGAGAGAGAGTGTTAGAGAGAGTGAGAGATAAAGAAATAACAATAAAGAAAGAGAAGTACATGACTAGCATGAAGGTAAAATAAAAAGAAAGAAGGAAATCAAATCAAGAAAAAAGAAAGAAAGAAGAAAAAGAAAGAGAGAGAGAGAGAGAGGGCTATGTAAGTAAAGATATTGTAAGAATAGAAAATAAGTAGAAAAACAAAGAAAAAAAAAAAAAAAAAAAAAAATAAAGAAATAAAACTGCATAAGTAAAAAGATGGAAAGAGAAGAAAAGTTGATGTAGAAAGGAATAAATATACAAAATAAAGAACGGAGGTTGTGAAGGAAAAAGACCGAATAAAAGACACAAAGAAAACGATAAGCTCAAGAAAAATTATGGGAAAGTGTAATTAAAAAAAAAAATGGTGAAAAAAATGAAAGGGAAAAAAATTGGAGGTATATGTGAAAGAAGAATGGGAAAAAAGAAAGAAAGAAGAAAAGAAACCAGAAAGAAACAAAGAAAGAAAAAAAGAAAGAAACAAAGAAAAAAGAAGAAAAACAATTTTAAAAATGAATAAAAAAAATCGGAGATCAAAAATTTTAAAGAGAAAGAATAAATAAGAAAAATAATATAAAAGGAAGAGACCAGAGAGAAAGAGAGAGAGAGAGAGAGAGAGAGAGAGAGAAAGAGAAAGAGAGCGAGAGTAGGAGAGAGATACAGAGAAAGAAAGAACAAGAAAGAAAGAGAAGTACATGATTAAACGAAAACAAAATAAAATGAAGAAAAAAGAAAGAAAAAAGAAAAAGAAAGAAAGCGCACTATATAAGGAAAAATATTGTAAGAATGGAAAATAGATAAAGAAGTAAAAGAAGTGATGAATAAAGAAAGAAACGAAGAAAGAAAAAATAAAGAAAGAAAACTACATGAGTAAAAAGAAGGAAAGAGTAGAAAAGAAATTAACCAAAAAAGAAAAAGTAAAAATTAGTAATACAATAAACTAAATACAAATGAAAAAAAAGACGTAAAAAATCAGAGAGTTACTACAAGGAAATAGAAAGAGAAAGAATATTCTAAAATATAAACGTGGAAACCAAAAGGAAAGATTGAAAAAAGAAAATAATAGTATATCCGTAAAAAAGTAAGTGATATAAAAGAAAGAAAGGAAGAGAGATAAGCACACATTAAGAAGACGTAAATAAAAAGGAAAAATAAATAAGATAGTAAACCAAAAGGAAAGCTAAAGAAAGAAAAAGTGTGTGAATAAACGAAAGAAATAATGGGTGAAAAAAAAAACACACACGAAATAGGAGAGTGGGGAAAAAAGAATAAACAGCAGGAAAAGATAATCCGAAAATAAAAGAATAAACAAAGAAAGAAAACACAAAAAGCGAAAAGGACACATTACCCAAAAAGAAAAGGAATTCAGATAACTAGACACAAATTAAGAAGGAAATAAAAATTAAAAGTGATAAAATAAGATAGTACATCCGGAAGAGGCATGGTGCATGGAACTAGAACAATCTACTCCGGCGGATGAAATAAAGGGTTCGGTTCGAAATTCCATTCAGCTGAAGAAGGCGAACAACAACCGAAACGTTGTGTATATGGCGATGAAGATGAGGATAACAGTCCGAATAATGTAAATAAAAAAAAAAATATAGAAAACGTGAAAAAAAACACATGAAATGAGGAGGAAAGAAAGGGGAAAAATGAAGAAAATAAAAAGAAAAAGACAGCAGGAAAAAAAGATAAAAATCCGAAAATAAATAGTCCGAATAAACAAAAAATGTTAAATACGAAAAAAAGTCACAAAAAAGCGAAATTTTTTTTTACTGGTTGAGATAGAAACATAACTGGGAGATGTGAATTGCCAGTGGATAAAGACGTTGGATTAGAATTCTTGGGATCTGTTCTTGTTTTATTTCACTAGACGCAATAGTTAAAAAATACATGTATGTGTAGTTCAATAAAATGATAAGGCCACAGCAGTTGTTAACCAAAAATTAAAGTGTTGAGCGATAGTTGGAAATAACTGAGAAGCACATCCGGAAGATCCATGGGTGCAAATGGAACTAGAACAATCTACTCCGGCGGATGAAAATAAAGAGTTCGGTTCGAAATTCCATTCAGCTGAAGAACACAAGGCGAAAAAAATAAAAAAAAAAAACAAATGAAAACTACAGACAAAAGTTCATTTTCTCAGCAAAAGACATTCATTTCGTTCACTGTGTATTTCTTCTCTGATGGCGAAACTGAAGATGAAAGGATAACAGTGAGTCCGAATAATGTAAATATAAAATATATATATATATATATATATATATATATATATATATATTTATATATATATATATGTGTGTGTGGACGATTAAAACGTAAACAAATACGTAAAGAATTTCAAAAATGAACAAATATTTTAATTATATATTTAAAAATGTGATTTATTTCTCCAAAACTGAAAATATGACATGTTTAATAATAAGTACCTCTCCACACTTTGTATTAGTGAACTCAAGAAGGTAATAAATTCAGCTGAAACACATTTGGGTGCTTAATTATTCAATTGAAGCAGACCAATGAAATTAAACATTCTTACTAAATTGGTGTGAGAACCGAACTTTGACAAGACAATCAAAATTACGAATATTCTACTTTTAATCTATTCCTTAGTAGTTATGATACTTACGCTTGAAATTCCGTGCCATTAAGCCTTAAAAGATGGCAAAATTAGGCATAAAATGGCAAATACGTTCTTCAAAAAAAAATGTCTTCAGGGCCTTTAGTGCCCACAGACAAAGCAAACAAATATATAGATCAAAATTTAATGATTGTTCTTCAGCAACCAAAATAGTAATGCATCAGATAGACCTAAATAATTAGGCAATGCCTTTTTCAGATTTTTAAAGTTAAATTTTTTCTGTCCGAAATATAATTCTGAGATGAATAATTGAATCTTCCAGAACTTTCCAGATTTAGGATCTGTTTGTTCTTCAGTTTTTCATTTCTTGGCAATGATTGTTCTTCACAACCAAAATGTACCAATTTAGTTAAAAATTGAGGCAATGATTGTTCTTCAGTAACCAAAATGGTAATGCTTCAGAGTTTCATTGTTCTTCAGCAACCAAAATGGTAATGCATCAGTGCCTTTAGTGCCCAAAAGCCTAAATAATTAGGGCAATGATTGTTCTTCAGCAACCAAAATGGTAATGCATCAGGGCATTTAAATTAGGCAATAGCAACCAAATGGTAATGCTTCAAGTCTTTAGTGCCCAAGCCTAAATAATTAGCCAATGATTGTTCTTCAGTTAGTTAAAATGGTAATGATACATGATCAATTAGGTGTAAATTTCAGAACCTTTAGTAAGCCTAATCACTATGATTGTTCTTCAAGAACCAAAATTAATGCATCAGTGTATTTAGTGCCCAAGCCCTAAATCTTTCTGCAGTAACCAAAATGGTAATGCTTCAGAGTCTTTACTAAATTGGCAATGATTGTTCTTCAGTAACCAAATGGTAATGGCTAGAGCCTAAATAAGTCTATCAGTAACCAAAATGGTCTTCAGGAGTCTTTAGTGCCCAAGCCTAAATAATTAGGCAATGATTGTTCTTCAGCAACCAAAATGATAATGCTTCAGAGTCTTTATGCCTAAGCCTAAATAATTAGGCAATGATTGTTCTTCAGCAAACCAAAATGGTAATGATTCAGGGCGTTTAATGCCTGCCTAAAATAATTAGGTAATTCAGCAACCAAAATGGTAATGCTTCAAGTCTTTAGTGCAAAAATAATTAGGCAATGATTGTTCTTCAGTAACCAAAATGATAATGCTTCAGATTTTTGCCTAAATCTCAAGCAACGAAAATGGTATATCAGGGCCTTTAATTAAATAATTAGGTAATGATTGTTCTTAGCAAAAAATATCTTCAAGTCTTTAGTGCCCAAGCCTAAATAATTAGGCAATGATTGTTCTTCAGCAACCAAAATGGTAATGCATCAGGGCCTTTATATAATTATATAAAATGGTAATGCATATTTATAAATATATATAATATATATAAATAATTATGATTGTTCTTCAAACCAAAATGGTAATGCATCAGGGCCTTTAGAAGCCTAAATAATTAGGCAATGATTGTTCTTTCATGGTAATGCTTCAGAGTCTTTAGTGTCCAAGCCTAAATAATTAGGCAATGATTGTTCTTCAGCAAAAAATAACAAATGCCCAAGCCTAAATAATTAGAATGATTGTTCTTCAACACAAAGAAATAATTAGTTAAAAAAATGATCTCATGTTGAAAAAAATAAAAATAAATAAAAAAACAAATGAAAACTATAATTAAATGAAAACCAAAATGTTCATTTTCTCCCAAGCCTAAATAATTAGGCAATGATTGTTCTTCAGCAACCAAAAATGGTTCTGGCAGTTTGTTCTTCAGCAACCAAAATGGTAATGCTTCAGGAGTCTTTAGTGCCCAAGCCTAAATAATTAGGCAATGATTGTTCTTCAGTAACCAAAATGATAATGCTTCAGAGTCTTTAGTGCCCAAGCCAAATAATTAGGCAATGATTGTTCTTTTCGGTCACAAAATGGTAATGATTCAGGGCCTTTAATCCCAAGCCTAAATAATTAGGAATGATTGTTCTTCAAACCAAAAAATGATTCAGGGCCTTTAAAAGCCTAAATAATAATTGTTCTTCAAACCAAAATGAGTCTAAAAGCCTAAATTTTAATTTGTTCTTCATAACCAAAATATAATATATATATAAATATATTCTTCAGCATATATATATATTATATATATATATCATATATATATGTAAATATATATGATTGTTCTTCATAACAAAAATAATATATGTTCAGCAAACCAAAATGGTATATATATAAATAATTATGATTGTTTTATATATATATTGCCCAAGTAAATATATATATAATGATTCAGGGCCTTTATATA